ACACACACTATATATATATATATATATATATACAGGAAGCTCTTGATTAGTGCTGCTAATCCGTACATTAAAATATACGTACTAATAGAAAACACCTTAATCGAATATAATAACTTATAGGAAATGATGTAATTTGTAGCTTTTTCAATTAAAAGGGCACAACTCTCTAACTTTCTGTTGTGGTAGGATCCACCTAATTTGCATAGTGGAGTACCGACCATATAAATATGGTTGGTACCGGGAAGAGAGGGAGGAATCAAGAGATTCAACCAGAGACTCTGCCCGACTGCGACTCAGTCAACACATTCTCCAGGAACGGTCTTACCAGGAATATACAAAAGACTATATGTAAATATTGTGTACACTTTCTTGTTTCAATACATTTTGTTCTAAGAACATTTTGTGTTGCATTATTATTCCATGCATTAGTCAAGTTTCAACACTTTCAATAGCTCATGTTACAGAAATTTGGGATTCCCAGGTTTTCATTCTTGCGATTGTTTGCGACGAATTTTTTACGTGATTTTTTGCGACGATAACAGTTTTTATAATTTCGAAATAAATTTAGGAATAATCGAAATTAATTGCGAAATCCTGTGAAAATCACCCATGAAATAACAATAATCGTTTGTACGGAAAGTATGGACCTACGTACATCAAATTGTCTTTAGATTAAGTGGCGGCAGAAGAATTATCATTCAACTTTTAAAAGGTAAGCTCAAATATTCATGCAATACTTAAATGTAGTGATCAATTTTGAGTTCTTCTGGAGTTCATTGTTGCCCATCGCGTATGGCAGCAGTGTGCCTCGCAAAAAGAATTCTCCGCCAACAGAGGACCAGATTGCAATCAAATGAGTCAAGGCTGCAGCGTGGAAAAGAAAGTCCCGTACAGATGAAAACCCGGATCAAACGGCGGCTAGGAGAGCTTCCAATGCAAAGACTTAGGGGCTCTCAAACACCGGAACAAGTCAAAAGCCCTCCCCAGTAGCTATGTCATATGCCACTCGATAGGGATGTTCTTAAGTTTATATATATATATATATATATATATATATATATATATATATATAGGGGAAGGCCTTGTGCAGGACCAGCCACACTTTTGGAGGGACGAATACAGAAACCTGGTGCACCGAATGCATGCCACAAGGTTCCCAAACGACCCTCCGCAGGTTTTGAATTCAGAGTTGTCCTTCTCCTAGACCAGTTGCCATCCAAGGCTATAGAACCCAGTCTGTCCTGCTATTTTACCCATAGCTGGAGGGAGTGAAGAGGATACATACCTTTAGCACGTAAGTGAATGCAGTGGATTCGACTGGAATTCGAACTCGGCTCTGCGATTCCTCAATCCAAGCCGCTAACCACTGCTCCACTGTGCCTCCTGCACAAGGCCTTCACCACTATAAACAAATCTCATGTGCCGGTGTCGGGATGTCGGTTTCCTGGGGACTTATCGGCCTGACCCTCATACGTCGAATGCGACGGGAGAGTCGATTATATATATATATATATATATATATATATATATATATATGTTCAAAATCATAACATATGTATGTTATAACATCACTACATGAATTGTAATTTTTGTTTCAACACTACTGGTGTCTTATCAAGTGACCCTTATGGGAAGTGGGTTAATCCATTAATGGTTCCCAGTAGATCATTTTCAAAACCGAACAGTGCCTCAATAAGTGGTCACTTGATAGCACACCAACAGTGTTGTAACAAAATTGTGCGTGTGTGTGTGTGTGTTAATCCTTACATCCCAACGAAGGCAGGAATGCCACTAGTACACTGGGTGGGTGGTTACAGAGTAAAAGTAAGAGAGAAGACCGAGTATAGGAAGGATTGAGGAAAGGACAAAAGATAAACGGAATTCAAGTTGATACAAGATGGCAATTGACGTTTCATTTAAACTTTTGAAGATTATATTTATCAGACAGCAAGGAAAACGGAAGAGAGTTTCCACAGGCGGGGAGTGCGAGAAAAGAAACCGGTGAAGTAAAAGTGGCGGTTGCATTTAACTATTTTAACAGTACGATCGTGGGACCTAGATGCCAAACTAGTATCGCGCTTAAATTCATAATGTCGGTGCAGCAGGGATAAAAGCACGTCAGAGCAGTTTCCATGAAAATATTTGTAGAAAAGACAGAGGGAAGCTTCGTCGTATACATGGTGTCGAAAAAGTCTTTCAATTTGAAAAAGTCTTTACGAAAATTTAGTAGTTTTGTCGCATATTAATATGTTATTATAAAAGTTCTTTTAATGAGATTCATTGTTTTAGGTTTTTAGGTCTCAGACCGAGGTTAGAGAATTTCCAGTAGTGACACCGAAAGGAAGGACGCAGGTTCGATTCTTGCCGGAGAGCACATTTACTTTATTGAGATTTCTCGAGGCCGCACCCCGATAGGCATAATACGCACAATTTAAAGTAAAAATAAAAATGGGGCGTCTATTTCAAATATGAAATATCTGTTATAATAACATCTGAAGTAATAAAAATGGTGGATTAAAAAAAAATCCATTAATTCTTTTTATATATATATATACATTGTATTCCTAGCCTTCTAGTGTATCTCTCTCTCCACTCCTCTCTCTCTCTCTCTCTCTATCTATCTATCTATATATATATGAAGAAATATAGTCTTAAGGTGTGCTATATTTATGGAATAAAGTGCTCAATATCAGAGATAGAGCGTGTGTAAATATAAAAGTGAACATAGAAGTCAACACGTAGAGGCGACAGTCTGTTTCATGCTATATGCAATCGTCAGGCCACGTGTGCTGTTATTTTTCTCGGTTATTTATATATATACGGGTCAGTGGTGCATTGTGGGTAATCTATTATGGCGGTTATTTTACTGGAAGTCGTTTATTTATTTATTTGGGTTATTTGATTTATTTATTTATTTTTTTTTTTTAATCGCTAGTAAAAACGTAGTAAAAATTTATTTTTTCGTCCGATTGTTAGGTTTGATTTTTTTTAGTTCAACTAATATTTTACTCATAATGGCTTGCTAATTTGTTTTGTTAAAATATATATATATATATATATATATATATATATATATATATATATATATATATATATAAATATATACATATATGAAGAAAAATTTGGAAAAAACAAACCAAAAATCCTAAATGCAATGTTGTTTAAAATGAATGAAATGTCGACGTCTGACGTTTCGGTTTAATAAACCTTCTTCAAGACAATATTTATTAAAAATACAATTCAGTTCAATTTGACAAAGACGATGGACATAAAAACAAGTCTTATCCAAAACAGATAACTGAAAATTTTAAAATGATCAGCTTTCCGTTTAGCATGGTCACGTTGTCGTCATATGGGCGACGCTTTCAATATATATATATATATATATATATATATATATATATATATATATATATATATATATATATATATATATGAGCAATGTGGGCAAAGCGTTGAACAACGAATGGCGATTAGCTTCGTGCCAGAACGCAATTTTCAAGATTGGTCTGAAGATTGTGCCATGTCATGAAACAGGCTGTTGCCATCAGGTGTTGAACCATGTGTCTGTGTATTGCGTGTGTCAGACGGTGCAGTCGATACATCTTAGTAAAGAAAATGTATCCGTGACTGATAGACTTGGGGAATATTGTTCTTGGCCTCAAACCGCTACACAAGCAATGGTCAGTGATGGAACTTCTATGGTGTGTTTAGACGACCACACTCTACACACTCTCCTTCCAAGCTCTGCTATAAATATGGGAAGTGAGCGAGAATGTTATAACTTAGTGTGTATGAGTGACAGAGTTCTAGGTTAAACTGTGCCAAGCGGTGTCACTCTAAGTACTTTAGCTCCGTTGCTAAAGCAGAAATCCCGATACTTTTTGATCAACATCGGTACATGTATGTAATATATCTAAGCAATTAAGTATGCATATCTATGTAATTAAGTATGCATATCTATGTAATTAAGTATGCATATGTAATGACGTATATCCGAAAAGGAATGCAAACTGTGCATATGAAATGTTGATTTATACAGCTGACGTTTGGGCACCTCGAGGAGGTGTAATTGTTAGCAAACTTCTCTCGCCAGAACAATTATGACTGGGTAGTGAGTTCGATCCTCAGTGGGTGCCCCATACTTTCGGCCTTGTGCCACATCTAAGATACGCTTGGCAAATCACTATACAGCTGCCGTTAAACAACTTCGAAAAAGACGATGGAAACTGAATTTTATTTAACGTTTTTCATGGTCCAATTATTCGGCTTTTGAGTCACCCTTTGCATATATGTATAAATGTATTGGTTTTCTGACCATGAGACCCGGGTTCGAATCTCACCATGGTCGATTTGTTACGAAGAAGACTTCCTGATGTTATCGGATTGGATCCCAACATGCGGCACTTTTGGAAAGTGCCTGGAAAATATACAACCAGTTGACCCAATACTTGTGAATGAAATTATGTAGACGGAACACTTGGTGAAGGAGGGCATCGATAGCTGTGTTAGCACGAAGTCACAAGTCATCGTGACCGAGAGTTTGAGTGTGCTGGCCTTGTTCAGATTGTTGATCACGCTAGATAACACGTTCTCTTCCAGAAACTGTAACTAAGTTCAGCATAGTTGCAGTATAAACCACCGGTAGGCTCTGTGGGCGTTGAACAAACATAAATGTGCTGGAGTGAGCGTCTGAATTAGGGATTGGCTAGCCGCTCTAGTAGACGCGTATCCTCGATTACAAGTCGCCAGCTATTATTATTCATACATATCTCAGTCTATTCATATTTCTACGTGAAATAATAAAGCAATCATTTATGCTTTATGAGGCCACCTTGGTTTGGCGGATATTTACTGTAACACGGTCATAAGAGGTACTTATGACCTTCGAAAACGTAAGTAAATTCAATTGTCGATCACTTGACGTCCACTTTTGGCCTCGTCTTTATGCGCCACCTTGATGTAAGTCGCCACTTGTACAAGCAAATATGGGCCATAAAATGCAGTTACCTCATTGGGAAAAAATAAAAAACAAAACATCAACCTTCGTTCATTTCTATTTTCTCTTTGTCGTTCTTTGTCAATGTCAATCCATTAATCAATCTAATGTCTGTTCAATCTATTATCTATCTATCTATCTATCTATCTCATTTATCCATTACATCCTACTGACATCTATCTATCTATCTATCTCAGTCTGTTCATATCTATCTATCTATCTATCTATCTATCTATCTCTATTTATCCATTACATCCTACTGACATCTATCTATCTATCTATCTATCTATCTATCTATCTATCTCTATTTATCCATTACATCCTACTGACATCTATCTATCTATCTATCTATCTATCTATCTATCTATCCTTCAAATCTGACACTCTCAATCTATCGGTTCATTATCTATCTATCTATCTATCTATCTATCTATCTATCTATCTATCTCACTCGGTTCATTATCTATCTATCTATCTATCTATCTATCTATCTATCTTCAAATCTTACTCTCAATCTATTGGTTCATTATCTATCTAGCTAGAGGGCTAGGTAGCTAGCTAGCTCTGTTGATTATCTATCTATCTATCTATCTATCTATCTATCTATCTATCTATCTATCTATCTATCTATCTCACTCGGTTCATTATCTACCTACCTCACTCGGTTCATTATCTATCTATCTATCTTGACACTCAATGTCATGCTCGACAAGAGCCAGATCAGAAGTAGCATCTGAGCCGGAGTTGCCCAACCCTCACCTTCCAGCCTAAACATAGTTCAAAAGCATTTGCTAGGCTTTGGGGTGAGGATGAATTGCTTTCCACCCCACAACCCATTTCCCCCAAACTAAACGTTGTTATCCTCTTGCTACTCCACCGCTATTTTCATGGCACACGTTCGGACGAACTGCATTTCTTAGTTCCATCAGTTCCGCTCTTCACGGCTAGCCGCTGACATGCCACGCCCACTGAGTCGACTCATCCGCATTCCATTCAGATTCCACTGGTAAGGACGAAGTTCATCTTAGAATGCTTTTACCCCCAGTCACGCTAGGGTACAAATATACGTAACCCAATCTTGGTGCCCATCATGGCACCGATTCTGATAAGAGTATATCAGGTACATGCATCGCAGCCAAATATGCGTGATATGGGAAGAGATTTTCATAAAAAACAGCTCCCAACTCTGTTGGTGTGGCGTAGTAAGAAATATCTTCAGATCAGATAATCAGATTGCTTACGTCTATGTTTGGTTCCAAACATCTAAATGTGTCTCCCAAGTTGACTTGGCTGCCTCATCCTTCACACTTCAAAACAACAGCCCTCTTAAACCCAGCCATGTACCTCTCTAACTACTTCAGTCCACGAACAGAGATACACAGAGCGTCAATGGTTAGGGAGATACCGAACCGCTTATGGTCAGGCAACTGACTAACAAATCTGTGATATTGAACACGATATTTACTGTAGCCTCTCTTTATCATTACCATCAGTTCCTTGACTGTTTCAATCGTCCGAGGTGTAGGGACTACGGTCAGAGGATAATCTGTTGGCGTTGGATCTCAGGAGTTCCGGAATTGTAATGACCGTCCACTCTTTGATGTTGACTGATCCGCTATTGAGTTAGCGTCCCCGCTCGCGTCCGCCTTCAACAGTACCTTGCATGATGGTCTTGCAGAGGCTGTTATGCCGTGTGACGTGGCCAAACCATGACATCTTCAGACGCTTAATAGTCGCGAGAAGAGATTCCCGCCAGCCCACTAGACTTTTGGTCTTTGCTTCGTAGATAGTCATTGGTTTTGTGCTCCCAGTAAAAGCGAGAAAAAAACTTGATGTCTTTAAAGAGCAGATGAGACTTCTTGCGGGGTCGTCATTCATTTAGCACAATGGAATAACACTGGACACCAGAACAGAAGAAAGAGAAAACCTCCTCCGGCTTGATCCGTTGGTGGTGGCTCTCACGAGTTCCGGCATTGTCATGTCCGTCCTCTTTTTGATGTTGTCTGATGTCTTTTGCGTTGTCGTTCCCGCTTGCGTCCGCCTTCAACAGTGTCTTGCATGATGGTCTTTCAGAGGCCGTTATGCCGTGTGACGTGGCCAAACCACGCTATCTTACGACGCTTAATAGTGGCGAGGAGAGAGTCCTGTTGGCCCACGAAGGCGTTTCTATATATCTTCGTACATAGTAATTGGTTTTGTGCTCTCAGTAGGAGATGTGGATGAGCTTTCTCAAACATTTGTTCTCGAACGTCTGGTTAATATTTCTACCTCAACCAGGGGTATCCAAGTCTCACACCCTTAAAGGAAAATGGATACGACCAGCGATTTGTAGAGGTTATACTTGGTATGAAAGCTGATGTTGCTCTTATATCCTTTCCAGTCCAGCCATCGCGGCTGTGGCTGTGGCTGTGATGGTCCGTGTTCGAATTTCTGCGTTGCAGGTGCCATCTTTTGACAATGTTGCTCCCAAGTATTTGAAGCTGGACACTTCGTCGTCCATGGTGACGCTGGCACTGTTGTTACTTGCGCTATTCACTATTACGTTGGACTTCTCTGTGTTCAGACCCATTCCAAATGTGTAGGCTCTTTCAACGAGTTTCTTGGTCAGGTCTTGCAACTAACCGATGTCTCTGGAACATACTCAGTATCAGGTGGCCAGAAGTCGTCTCCAACGACCAACTGAGGGACAGGACCAGACAAGCCCCAGTCGAGAATGACATCATGAAATGAAAATGGGGATGGATCGGCCACACACTCCGCAAGCCTGTTTCTAGTGTCACCATGCAAGCCATTGACTGGAATCCACAAAGGAAGTCATCTCCAATGACCAACTGCGGGACAGGACAAGACCAGCCCCAGTCGAGAATGACACCATGAAACGAAAATGGGGATGGATCGGCCACACACTCCGCAAGCCTGTTTCGAGTGTCACCATGCAAGCCATTGACTGGAATCCACAAGGGAATCGAAAAGTGGGTCGAACAAAACAGACTTGGCGTAGAAGTGTTGACGCAGAGGTAAAGGCAGCCAGCGCGACATGGGCCGAGCTGAAAGGGTCACCCGGAACCGCGGTCGTTGGAGAGAGGTGTTGTTGTGGTCCTATGTGCCCCAAGTGGCATAATAAAGAAATAAGGTCAATATCGTATGCAAAATGCACTTTGCCGACAAGTCTAGCACCGATAGAAATAGGGTTTTGGAGGGTTTTCTGTATAATTATCTCCAGGAACAGGTTGAAGATTGTCTAACACAGATTGGAAGAAATGTCCCACTTGATTACTCAAGCGAATTTCACTAGTGGCATGGTCATAGATGTAAAAGCATTCACAAGTTAATACCTCCGATAAATTGAAATAAGAAACCATGAATTATATTTGGTGTAATAATAAGGCATATTATTATGTTTTTCACACAATATAAGATTTTTTTTCTTAAATATACCAGGTATATTAAATTATCTGTCAAGTTAGAGCAAGGATCTCATACAGACAACACTTACCTCAAAATATGCACAGTGCTCAAAAGAGACGATTTATGGCTGACTACAAATTTGTATGGTATCCCCAGCAGGTGAAGGAAGTCACACAGTTTTAATGGGATTGATTCCAGTCAGCCAATCACTACTGGAATCACCTTGACATTCCCTTCCGGCATTCCAAACAATTCTGCCATCTCAACCTTCAAATCAGTGTAATTTGTCATTATCTCAATCACCTTCTTTGCTATAATTGTGTCATTGGGTTTGGTTTGCTTTGCTTTGTTTTACGGCATATCAACCTCAATGGCTTATTTATTGCCGACAAAAATTTTATTGCTGGTAATTTTTGTTTATAATGTATTGCTGTTAATATCTTTTTCTTCAAAAACTACATTTCTGGTAATATTTTTCCTTCAAAAATGTATTGCTAGTAATATTTTTTTCTTTTTTTCGAAAATGTATAGCTGATAATATTATTTTTTCTTTTTTTTTTTAAAGTATAGCTGGTAATACTTTTTTCGAAAATGTATTGCTGGTAATATTTTTTTCGAAAATGTATTGCTGGTAATATTTTTTTTTCGAAAATGAATTGCTGGTAATATTTTCTTCTTTTTTTTTAAAAAATGTGTAGCTGGTAATATTTTTTTTTTTTTTTTTAAAGATGTATAACTGGTAATATTTTTTTCGAAAATCTATAGCTGGTAATATTTTTTTTTTTTTTTTTCCAAAAATGTATTACTGGTAATTTTTTTTCAAAAATGTATTGCTGGTAAAAATGTATTGCTGGTAATATTTTTTTACAAAGTATTTCTTGTATTAAAACTTATTTTTACACTTTCATAGACTTTTGACCTCTGTTTTTTGTGGGGGGGACTATTTGGCCATAGTTGGGACCCTAACATGTGCTACCACCGCGGGTCAGGGTGTACCTGAGAAAACCAGCAATTAAGAGGTGGTTCCACGATCCCCAAAACCTGGTCAGAGGCCTTGCTGTTGGACGAAGTTTATCGTCTTACCAAGGACAAGTGTCATTTGTTATTGTAAATAATATTACAGTTCTTGCCGCCTTTATCGAGCACACAAATACCCAGACAGCAATGGAGTATCATTTTATTATTATTAAATTCATGATGTTTCGCTTTTAAAAAGCATCTGCAGTAAGTTTTCCAAAACTAGAGGTTGACTTACAGGGTGTGATGGATTAAATTGTCGCCATGTTATATTTTTAATTTCACGCATGCGCGTTGTTTGATTCTGAACAGTATAGTGCGGTCAGTTGGTCACCGTCCGCAAGAAAAAGAGTCCCATGACTCAATTCACTCCGCCACAAATTTGGAAGCGACATGCTGTACTGCTTGTCATTCGCACCTGAAGCTCCAATACGAATATTTCAGAATGTTTGGGTGTCAATCTGGTGACAGAGGATTCGGAAAGTGTTTGATGAATCTAAGGGTTATCACGATGGGGTTTGGAGTGATTACTTGTGATTGCGACCACATGCCCCATTCATCTTCCCACACGAACTCACACTCAATACGGAGGCCTACATCAAATAATTTGAGGAGGTAGGGCTACTGGTGTCAAGAGGAGGGCTGCTGGAAGACCCTATGTCTGTCAACAGGACTCTGCACCATGCCACATAAGTAGGAGAAGCAGGAGAATCCAGTCATGCCTGTCAGACAAATTCTGCGACCATATCACCCCTTACATTTGGCGATATAACTCCGCAGACGACAACCTCCTTGATTATTATGCGTGATGAGCAGTTGAGCGAGAGACCAAGAAAACTCTTTGTCACATAAAAGATGAACTGAAGGCAAAGGTTATGGCAGCATTCAACAACTTAAAGAAAGTGACTGTCCAGAAGAGTTGTAAGAGATTCCGAAATCGTCTGAAGGCCGTTGTTGACGCCAGTGACGATTTTTTTCCCAATAGATTTACTCTTTAATATTCCAAGATATTTTTGTGTAATTTTGGTGAATATATCCGTTAAAATAAGATGTCAGTGTTATTTTCATTTTTTTTTTTTTTTTTTTTTTGCGTAATTTAGGCGACAATTTTTCCATCGCACCCTATATATGGCGGGTATAAAAGTTGCAATCAAGTGGGACAGCACTCCTAAAAATCGACTGTATACCACTTACTGTAACTCTAGCAGGCTGCCACAAATATATCCCACTAAAACTTGTCTTTGGTGAATATATTTGGCATATTATCACAGAAATTAAAATAAAATAATGAAATATCAACACAAGTTCTGCATTCTATTAATGCTACATCACACATCGTGTCCAACAGCTGATACACTAAATGTACACCGACCGAGACGCCGTTTAACTCAGGCGGCCATTCGTGCAACTACATATGGCACATAACAGTACTATAAAAGAACTGTCTGGTATGATGTGTAACCTACGGAATTCATATCTTATAGGAGTTTATATTGACTTTAATAGGTTTATTAGTAGACCTGACGGATTTTAAATGTGCGCTAAGTTATATATAATATACGGTACCTAACGGAATGTGTTGTACGTTGTTTGTTATAAAAGGCACATCGAAAGTGATATAATGGAATATGCATACGCCTGTGTTCCCCTTCACTGGAATATGATTGGCTGGTGTCTCTGAATATGGAATCCAGTGAAGTCCGTAATCTCTTCAATATCAGAGGATGGCAGTGTAGATTCGGAGAAAGTAGCGGCTTTTAATTCTTTAAGTCTTCGATATCAGGTTGGCAGTGGAGACATTTTGGGAGAAAAAACAAAATGGCTGCCTTTATACACGTCGCCTTGAAAATTTTGGGCTTTCTGATTGGTTAACCCTTCTATTGGTGAACTATAAAATCAGTCAGCTCATTTTGGCTAGCTCACTAGTACTAAAAACTACCCAAAAATTCCAACATCCGTCATAAATACAGACGGACGTGTAGGTACGACAGAGTTTAAGTCTATGACGACGCCCATTGGACTATGCCATTGGCTATCCTATTGGTCTACACCTATTACCTGCGACTACGACGAGTACCAGTCGATTACTGCTACATTATTCTACTTGGTTATAGTAGCCCAAACCACTTAGCTACTTCGATCAAATATATTCCTTTCCGGGACATATAAGAAAGATATTACGGTTAGTGTCTCCATGTATAGATAAGTGGTGTGTAGTTTTGGCATAGGTTATTGTGTACTGCAGCCTAACTTTATTTACCGGTAGGCCCAGGATTTGGACCACATGTAGCCTACCGTATGTTTGCGGGTCGGCTTTAAACGGTAGGGATAGGTCTGACTCAATTAACTAAAAAACTTAGATTGCACATATTTTACATAAAAGTCTTTGTGAGATTTACTTGTGATTACAATTTTTTGTATTTCTTTTAAGACATGGTCTACCAAGGACTCCGTCAATGATTCTATCGGAACATTTTCCATTCAGTCCGAGGGCTCCAACTATAACTGGAATTACTGAGGTTCTCATGTGGCACATTTTTTAAAGATTTCCACTTTAATAATCTTGTATTTTGATAGTTTTTTCAAGATCTTCAAAGACACATTACAATCTGCAGGAACTGCTATATCAATAAGAAAGTACGTCCTGTTTATTATTATTATTATTATTAATAATAATAATGATAATAATAATAATAATAATAAAAATGATTGACGTAACTCTTCCAATATTTTTAACAGTTAAGAGAAAAGAGCGATTTAAGAAAAGAAAAACAAAAGAAAAAACACAGTCTTTCACAATGTTAAACAATATTTTCTTCAAGTTATATATTTTTCAAAAAAATTCAACTTTAAATCTACAAAAGATTATAATTACTTTTGACGCGTTCATTACCAGTATAGCCATTTTTTTTTCATCTTAAACTGTTTCCTTTCTTAACTGTTGTATTATAATCATTATTTCTATTTCCTTTGATTTCTGGTGTATACTCATTTCTTTCCGGGTCCCAACTAGAGACCTAAGGCTAGAAATGGCATCATGACATTTTCCACTGAGCATTCTCTGAGAAAAAAAAGAATTAAAGCCTAAAATCACACATATTTTACATAGATAAATCCCTTCGTAAGGGGTACAATTGTTTGTATATCTTATAAGGCGTGAAATACCAGGAAACATTTCAATGAGTCTATTGGAATGTTTTCCCATCCATCCGAGGGCTCCAGCTACAATTGGAGTTGTTGATGTCTTCATGTGCCACATTTTTGGAGATTTCGATTTCAAGGTATTTTGATAGTTTTTTTTAAAGGTGTTCAAAGATACATTACCATATCCAGGGACCGCCATGTTCAATAAGAAAGCACATTGTCTTTGTGGCCTCTGATCACAATGTCTGGGCGATTAGATTTGATTGTTCTGTCTGCGTGTAAAATCCCATAAAATTGTAACAGGTCCTATCTTCGTAACCGGCCCTGGGTGATGCTTACCAATTTATTGCAGTTTCCTTTCTGTAAGTGTTGCAGATTTTCAAGTGCAGATATTGACCCACTCTCTCCTGTCCGGTTTTATATTCAGTGCAACCTGATACTATTTTTCTGGATATTATCACAGAACCTGCATTTTGGACCAAGATAATTATTTAGTATGTGCGTTTGGTAGTTTCTGGTTTGATTGGTCCTGTGCAGCAAGAATAAAACCCTCGGTTTCAGCTTTTAACCCTGCACTACGTAGCCACTGATGGGTACTGGGTTTGTCTACATCAGATTGTTTGGTACGGGCAGAATACTGGCCGTAAGTTTATCTTGTAATCGTTTCTGTATCTGGTCGATTGCCTTTGCTTTCTTTTTTAAGGTTTTTGCAGCTGTAGTATGTTTATTATGTTTTACTTGCATTTCTTCATCCATATAAAACTTCATTTTGAACTTGGCTTACTTGTTTCTTATTTCTTTTATGTTCTTTGACGCAGATCATCATTCAGTTTTCAGTAGTTTCCAGGTATCTTTAAAGGTTGATTGTTGTAATGTTTAAAGTTCTAGTTGAACTAATCCTCGTCTTCCTTCAGATCTGGGCCCATAAAGACGATCAACCTCAGCCTTGCGATAATGCATGCGGTGGCAAGTGAGAAGCTTTCTTTTTATTATTATTATTATTATTTCATGCCTTTTCATGACCACGCCAGATGGCTGCTACACCATCTTCTATGTGCCATATCCCTTCAGGTCGTTGGTCTTCATAATGCTCCACAATCACCTTTCTTTTGTAGCTCTTAATAAATTTTCTCTTTTTTATGATCTCCCCGAAACTTTGCTCCGTAATCCATTTATTCAAGCTCGCCAGGTAGGTTATAAATTGTTTTTTATCTGTTCCTCATGCCTTCAGTCTGTCTCGTGAGTATCAATTTTTCCAAGCCGGCTTTCCTTATTATGCGCCCTAGAAATGTCAACTGTCTCTTTCTGACGTTAACTTTAAGTGTCCTTTTGTTTCCGCTTTCTCTAAATCTTCGTCGTTGTTCATGTGTTCGGTCCATGGCATTCTTAGCATCCTTCTGTAGAACTGCATATCTGTTACTTCAAGTGTCTCTGCTTTGTCTGTGAGGAGACTGTTCAGCATTCACTGCTATATAAACGGGCTGCTATTACGTAACAGTTCAGTTCTATTTTCTTTGTTTTTTGTCAAATCTTCCTCATTCGAGAATAAGAGACAACAACTCTAGCGAAATCCTCCGTCATGCAGCCGTGATTTGGAAAGTTTCATTTCTTTTTCGATTTGCTAATTTATTCAGAATCGATTCCAATGCTTTCGTCACGGTACCAAAAAAAAAAAAAAAACGAAAAAAACAAAAAAACGCCCAAATATTATGGGTACATTCGACACCTTTACTACCCTCCACAATTCTGTCTGTTGTCTCCTTCTCCTCCCCCCAGCCCAATTTATTATTTACTTCTTACAAATAGTAGTAAGTAACAGATTACTACTTGTTGTTATTTGCATTGCTGAACCTGTTTCTATTGCTTGCGCCCTCATTATTATTATTATTACTATTATTGGCCAATAAAAATGTTGATGACGTCATTTGTTTTGCTCACTTTCACTGACCCACATTCCTTGCGCCACGGTTGCAAGAGAGACTTGAGGCTTTGGCACGCATTTGAGCTGAGAATCAGATGAAAGGACGGGGTGGAGGTGAAGTGGAATTAATGGCAATGGATGTTTTTATTGAAAAGAGAATTTTGAGAGGAAGGGAGAGAGAGAGATGTGGGGAATAAAAAAAAGTGTTGGATGAGAAAGAAAGAAAGAAAGAAAGAAAGAAAGAAAGAAAGAAAGAAAGAAAGAAAGTGACTGAGAGGGAGACTAGGGAAAGAAGTCCTAAGTAAGAAAAAGAAAGGAGTAAAAGCTACGAAAAAATATAAAATATAAGCGAGAAAAGTGGCAAAAAGGCGTTTTTATAGAAAGGAGAAAATTGAGAGGAAGGGCGAGAAAGAAAGAAAGAAAAGAAAGAAAGAAAGAAAGAAAGAAAGAAAGAAAGAAAGAGAGAAGTGTCATAAAAAGAGGTGGATGAACAAGAAAGAAAGAAAAATAAAGAGAGAGAGAGAAAAAGAGAGAGAGAGAGAGAGAGACGAAGAAAGTCCTAATTAAGAAGAGAGTAGTAAAGACGAGAGAAAATGTAAAGAAAAGGTAAAAAGTAAAGAGGAGAAAATATGAGAGAAATGTAACAAAAAAAATGAATAACCAGAGAGAGAGAGAGAGAGAGAGAGAGAGATAGAGAGACAGAGAGAGAGAGAGAGAGAGAGAGAGAGAGAGAGAGAGAGAGAGAGAGGTGGGGCGGTAAAAACTAAAATACTTAAAAAATCTTCACGGGGCAAATGTCAAATGTAGTAGCTGTTGGTGTCATCATCGTCGTAATGGCGAAGGGGGAGACATTGTGGTGGTGGAAATTAATAGAGGCTTGATATTGACAAAATTAAAAACAAAATTCCTGTCAGTTTTACGTAATAATAACACTTAGAATTAAACTGGTTTCACCCCTTAACATCAGGTAGGTGAAGCTCGTTAATAAAAAATATAAGAACGCAAAATTATTTTCAAACGAGAATGTTCACGATATTCACTTACACCAATGATATGATTGCTAACTTTTACACTGGAACGATATTTTTAGTGGATACTCGTATTTGAGTAGACGTTCCATTTATTTATTAAACGATGTATTTATTCATTTTCGTCTAAATATTCGAGAAACCTTATGAAGAAAAATATGCGCTCTCCGAAAGGATTCAAACCTGCGTCCCCAGAGGGAACGGTCGTTAGATCTGACATGCTCTAACCATATGAGTTACGAAGAATTCTTGCCGATATATATATATATATATATATATATATATATATATATATATATATATTAGACTGAATATTTTAGACTGGTAAAATTTTCAGTCTTTAGTTTTAATATCATTTTAATATTTTTAATTTTGAGTCCTATATATAAAAATATCAGCTGTTTCTTGAGATTTTTTAATAAAAAAAAATTAATGTTTATATGTTATTTTTATAGATAGGAATCGAACATGTATCCTAAACGGAAACGTTATTTGGCCTGGCATGCTATACCATTTAGCTACAGAGGAAGCAACTGGTTAGGAGGACACATATTTTCTACGAAATTTCTCGGACATTCAGGTCGGTAAATGTAATTAATACTGTTAGTCTATTCCCTAATACATACATACATACATATATATATATATATATATATATATATATATATATATATATATATATATATATATATACATACATACATATAAATATGCCTGTGTGTGTGTGTGTGTGTGTGTGTGTGTGTGTGTGTGTGCATAATAATCCACAGACAGACTGTTTCGCTGAATCACAGTTCATCAGTGTGAATAGAGATCCGATTGCCTCAAGCCGGGATCGAAAATCGACTGATTTGGCACCAGTCGGAGATTTTCCTCCTGAGTTATCAGTGCCCGGTAGTGAGGAAGGTGAATTTTTGCGTATTTATTCTTTGAATAAGCACGGCAGTAAAGAATAGGGCTCAATTCGTAGAAGAGCTTTGAATTATCAGAAGTAGAAATCCCTGAAGGAAACTTTTTTTTGTGTGACGTGTTTCGACCTTTAGGACTTCATCGGACTAAGTTTATGTTTACGTTGATGCAACTAAATACGCGTAAAATTATCAGTCTCGAAATTTTCATATCTGCTCAGTTTCCTATGCAAACGTAAACAAAACACTTTTCTAAAGAACAGATTTTTAATTATTAATTAGACAGATTTTATCACTTTACACGTTATTTTTAGACTTATATATATATATATATATATATATATATATATATATATATATATGTGTGTGTGTGTGTGTGTGTGTGTGTGTGTGTGTGTTGTGACCTGTTAGAGGCCAGAAAGAAAGACACGGAAAGAAGAAGGTAGGTTGAACAAGTGTATTGAAATAACAAAACATATATACAAAATAAGTGTATTATTAGTCAGCAGATAGAATGTGTCCGTCCGAACTGTCAGGTTACACTGCGTCTCCGACTGCTCTTCTTAGGAAGTCTCGCAGGTTAGTATTTATGAAGAAGGAAGAGTTCATTCTAGTGCAGATAGGTCACCATAACAATATGAATGCATCACTTCTTCCTCACTCACTCCTCTGGGTTGAATAGCAAGTCAGATTGGTCTCTATATCCTTGGCTGGCAACCAGTCTACCGCAGAAAAAAAAACGGTAGCCTACAGCGGGAAAGTCACGAATCGAAAGAGACATGATCCCCGAAGCGTGTATAACGTAAGGCGCTTAAATGTCTGATGTCTGACGAAAATCCGTTTACCTCGACGACTTAGATGTGGTACAAGGCCGCAATTATAGAGCAACCAGTGAGGATCGAACTCGCTACTTAGTCTTACTTTATTTCGCGAGGTAACCATTACACAACACCAAAGTGCGCCGTTACACACACACACACACACACACACACACATATATATATATATATGTGTGTGTGTGTGAAAAAAGTGTTTATATAAATATATATATATATAATATAATATATATGTCATTATTTATATATTATATGCGCGGTACTTATTAGAAAGCGCTCGATATCAGAGATAGAGCTAACATATTTACTTGAATTGATGTGAGTTTGTGACCCTAGGTTTCACGCTTTTTGCGATCGTCAGACAAAATTTGTCTGGCGATCGCAAAAAGCGTGAAACCCAGGGTCACAAACTAATATCAATCCAAATATATATATATATATATATATATATATATATATATATATATAAATCGTTTTTAGTTAACTCATCCATAAAAAGATTTTCTACACTGAACGAAGAAAAAAACAACAAACTCTCATTAATAATGACTTTCCTAACTACATTGCTGATGCACAAATAATGCGATCGATTACAAATTTTAATATAAATCAAATAGAATATAATACGTCCTCAAATATCCCTAATCACATTAATCTTCTATATCGTAATTAGATGCATTCTAAATGTAAACAAGATGAAAAAAATAAACAAATCATAAATACAAATATTTCCCTCACAGATCCCAGTAAAAAAAGAAAATAATAATTATATACTATACTAAATTTAATAGAACAAATTTTATAATCCGTAATAACTCCTCCCCGCCAATCGTAGAAAACCAACAGTATATATCAATTTAAATGTCCTTTGGGAGTTAGCATCTCCGACAAAAAACAGTTAATGCATATGTTGGTCATTCTACAATAACGCTATCAAGACGGCGCAGTCTACACATGAATGATTCATCCTCCATTGCACAACATCTGCAAAAACATTCGTGTCCACATTCACAGTTTAGAAGTATATTGGTCGAAAAATGTCGTCGGCACACACTTGCTCTCGATTGTGGTTTTATCTGAAGAGGGAAGGGTAACGCTAGGCCTACTTATCCAATACACTCTACCCAGGAATGATACTCGACACTCAACGCTAGATATATGGGTGAACTGGCCAACTGATCAGCTGCACAATGACCCTATGACCTCATCCAGTCATAGGAATGATGATGATGATGACGATGATGATGATGGTGATGATGATGATGATGAATGATTAAACTTATTACGATACTATTGAACCGCGTGACTAGCTTGCTAAGCATTTTTAATGCCATGTCAGCTCAGAATGTAGATGAACATGACCCTCCACAGTTTCCTTTTCTTAATTATCTGTTAATTTCCATCACTGTTAATTAGATACATGAGTGTATGCCTCTATTCTTAGTAAAAGTTATGTTTAATTAATTCTTGTGCATTTATTATATTTAGGTTCGTATATATACATACGTGGTCGGATCAAAAAGTATCAGGACTGGTGCTATAAAAAAAACTACAACACACGTTAATTCGGCACTTAATCTCCTTCGAAGTAGTCCCCTTTTCCTATCGCCGTGAGTTTGAGTCATAAATAATTTCCGTTTTGGGGAACCAGTTGACGAAGTCATTATCCTAACTAAACATTGTGTGTGTGTGTGTGAGAGAGAGACAGAGACAGAGAGAGAGAGAGAGTCTGGGAAACACGCACACTCGTATATATTTTTTAGTGAAATTGGAGTAGATTTGAATAGGAAAATAAAATCAGAGCATTTTGTTTACTGATGGGGAAATCTGGTCTAGGGCAGAAGTTGTACCCATTGAATCTGGGTCATCAGAGGACAATAGAAATAGTCAAAATAATTTCTATCGATTAAAAATTGAAATAGAGCTGAGTAAGCTAGAAGGAACTTTGGAATTCACATGATTTTGCTTGAAGCAGCCAGAACCCCGTGATAATCACGTGCGAAGTAGTAAGGCCGAGGGTCAGTTATAACCAGCCGGGTTTATCTATATAAACGCGTAGTTATGCTGAAAAAGACAGACGGGAGAAAATTCTTGAAGAGAGAAGAGAGAATTGTCCCGGGCGAGCGTTGGGAGGAGAAACGCCACTATAACTTTAAGCCCTGCACAGAAATCTTTATCCCTCCATCGCAAAAGTCATATATCGTTCTGAGACGATTTAACAACAAGATAATCACATACACACACTCTCTCTCTCTGTCTAGAATCCAGTGTATGACTTTTTTTTTTTACTTTTCTTTTCTGTAAGCCATTTCTCTTTTCTACTATTCTTTTCTGCTATATAAAAGACAGCCGTGTCTACATCTTCAGTCGACCGTGAATGGACAGTCATCACTTCTTCTTTCTGGATAAAAAAAATCACAACGTGGGCAGGAAAAATGTGTGCAGGAAGCAGGATTAAACCAGCGGACCGGTCGAATAATCTACGGATGCTCAGAGGACCTACGGCCACTCACTTAAATTCGGTTAGCCCGAATAAACACCTCAACTCCGAGAGTAAGACGCCGGAGGTTGAGGGGCCGGGGCAAAAGTGTTAGAACATTCCATAAATATATGACAGGTGCTAAAAGATGGGTGACCGCTTGCGAATACTATGGCGCTGTAAGCTTAGATGTGCGGGCGGTGTAATGAATAATGGCTCGGAACTGTTAATCAGCGAGCCGATTTCCGATTCCAGTTGGGTTCGTTATATTCACTTACGCGCAAATATATTTAGGAAAGGCATGAATCCCCCTTTTTCTCAAGCTATAGGTTAATTAGTAAGACTTGTATCACTAAACCATTATTACCCCCCCCACCTAAATTCTTACAGTCGATAAATATATTCTGGCTTTAAATAGCTAGAAATGGGCTGATGAACCGTAGATAACAAATCAATTAAATCTATCAATTTGTAAGATCGAGTTACCGTAGTGATGGAATCGGAGATTAGTTTATTAAAAACTGCTCCATGACTTAGGATAATTTGTTACACAGTGTTATTATCTAAGAAAAAAAAATCTAACAATGTAAAAATAAATTCTAGGTTTAACAAACCTAAAAAGGGTTGATAAACCGTAGAAAATGAATTTATTGATTGATAATCATAGCTAAAGCAACACAGTAAAAAAAAAAATGGAACTCGGTTGGTCTGTTCTAATCCCACCTGATCTCTCTTCATCCGGCTTTTCGCCAACCGATTATTACCTTTTTCGATGATTTAATGAAGAAAACAGACACTAGAGCTTTATCCCTTGTTTCCTGTTTATGACTAAATTCCTGCTTCCTTCTGAAGTCTACCTCCGTATTATCCTTCCAAAATCTACGATTGAATATTATTCACTTATTCAATCTTGACCTTTTCGAGTCTAGAGTTAGCTGCTATGTGTATAGCCCTCAAGAACTTCATTTCTGACACTTTCTTAAACTAATACAGCACCACGCAATAACCCTCTGCCATGAGTGGCTCTTAGGGCTGGTATTGGGTGAACATTAGTAAAAATAAATCCAAGTGTTCTTCGAACATATTTTTCGCATAAAAACCTGCGTAATTTTAGCCAGAAGGTATCGAAGAGCTGCCTGTTTTTTTTTTAAGGCAATCAGTCTATGTAATTATCGCGCCCTATGTCAAGAGATGGAATATTAATAATAAAAAAATAACAATAATTAAATTAAACTTTCACTTACGCAGAATAACAACCTCTCTTCAGGAAATGAAGTCAAAAAAATGATTGCAAAACTGAATGTTCATAAATATTTTCTTTAAAAAGACCTCATTTTATGACGTTAAGATAAATCAAGATTTAACTTTATTCATTATACCTATATATAAGGGTTGCTCCGAAATTAATGCCTCGACGGATATTAATGGCATGGCTGAGCGTTATATATACATATGCAACTTGCACAAACCTTCAAGTCTATCATCATCCGGTACTCATCCTACTTATCCTCATAATATACAATACTTACGACACATTTTTCACTTAAAAACCTGCGGAATTTTACCCAGAAGGTATCGAATAGCTGCCTGTTAAGTGGCAACAAGTCATTGCAAATAATGGCGAATACATGATTAAATAAAATGTAATTGTAGTTTATTTATTTGAAGAATAAAGTTGTTAAACGAAAAACGGAATTTACTTCTGAATCAATAGCTGAGATCAAATGAAAAAAGAACAATTCAAGGTTTGTCTATGGCATAGTGTTCGTTTCTTTCTTTCTTTCTTTCTTTCTTTCTTTCTTTCTTTCTTTCTTATGACTCTTCAAGGGTTGTCCTTTTACCAGATGAAATGTTAAATTCAGATTGTATTAATGCCAGTTACATCACTTTCTTTCTAGGAAAATTGCCGTTCCCTCTTTGACAGCGCAAGGTCGTATACAGCAAAAATAACGCAGGAAAAAATAATTGTAATTCGGTTAATCAGTTCTACCCCAACTCACCATATTCATCTAACCTTGCACTAACCGATTATGACATTTTTTTTTTCGAATGCTGCAAAATGGTTTGATGAAGAAAACCTTAACTAATGAAAACCATATTCAAGAGTTCTACGAAGAGTTTTTTTAAACGTCAAATCCTTTGGATTTTTACTCCATACGTATTATAAAGTGGCAAGTAGTCTATGTGAGATAATGGCGAATATAATTAAAGGAAATTTATTTCTTGAACACTACGTTTGACAAACCAGAACGGAAATTATTTCTGATAGCGAAAAGATTTGACGATAAAGTGTCAAGTATGGCAACTGTACATAATTTTTTTTCTTTATCTAAAATTTCTTTTCAGGAAGAAGATTGTGCAGGTGTTGCCAAGAGTTAGCTGCACGGAATGAAAAATTGTAGATCCGAGTTCAAACTGAGTCCGAGTTCGTTATATTCGCTTCCGCCCAAATATCTTGGGAAAGGTATGAATCCATCTCGCATTTCCCCAGCTATAGATTAAATACCAGTACTTCTATCTGAGCAAATCATTATTTCAAAAGAAAAATTCTTGATATTCACTTGTAAAAAAGATATTATTCTTATAATTCAAGATATGTATCAGCTTGAAATAACCCACAAAGTGTTCACAAGTCGTAAAAAAACAAACTACTTAATCATTTCAGGAAGATAAGTACAGCCAATGGACAAGAATTAAGGGGAGTATTACAGACAGGTTATAACTGTGTAATGTAAATGATTTGGTAAAAGCTATGATAAAAGCTCTCAGGTGTGAAGATCATATTCGACAGTAGGATTGATACCAATAGAATGCGTCCTGGATATGACGATAAACTACATCCGCGTCCAGGGTAAGACGGTAAACTACGTCCGACAGCAAAGCTGTTAATCAGGAGGTTCTGAGGAGCGTGGAACCACCTCTTAATTGCTGGTGTTCCCAGTTCCTCCCTGACCTGGTGTGGTAGCACCTGTTAGGGTCCCAGAAATGGGCAAACAGGTAACCCCAAACTGGTGTCAAAAACACCATGAAAGTGTAAAAATAAGTTTTAATACCAGAAATACTTTGTAAAAAAATTATTACCAGCAATATATTTTTGGAAAAAAAAAATATTACCAGCAATACATTTTGAAGAAAAATATTACTAGAGATAGATTTTTTGACGAAAAAAAAATATTATCGGAAATACATTTTGAAAAATATATATATATATATATATATATATATATATATATATATATATATATATATATATAAAATAGCAATAAAAATGCTGTCGGCATTAAATAACCCATTGAGGTTGACATGCCGTAAACCAAACCAAACCAACAAAATGGGCTATGAACGATCTAAAGAAAGAAAGAAAGAAAGAAAGAAAGAAAGAAAGAAAAGATGTATCGATCGATAGATATGGACAAAGTAAGATAGATAGATAGATAGATAGATAGATAGATATAAACAAACTGAGATGTATATGTCGATGTCTAGATGTCTAGATAGATAGATGTCTAGATAGATAGATAGATAGATAGATAGATAGATAATGAAGAGAATCAAATAGATAGATAGATAGATAATGAAGAGAATCAGATAGATAGATAGATAGATAGATAGATAGATAGATAGATAGATAGATATACAAAAACTGAGTTAGCGTGAGATATCGGTAGATAAATCTGAACAAAGTGAGATAGAAAGAAACTGAGGTAGATATATCGATAGACATGAACAAAGTGAGGCAGATAGGCAATGGGAGATATATCGATGATAGCTATTAAGAGAAATAGATAGTTATAAACAAAATGAGTTAGGAGAGATATCGATGAATAGTATGAACAAAATGAGATAGATCGATCAATCGATAGATATAAACAAACTGAGTTAATGAGCTATATCGATAGGCAGATAGATATTAAAAGAGACAGATATAAACAAAATGAATTAGCAAGAGATATCGATAGATAGATATCAACAAAATGAGATAGATAAATAGATAGATAGATAGATAAACAAACTGAGATGGATAAAGCGATATAGTGTTAGCTAGATGGATGAATAACTGATTGGGAGATTCAAACACTCATGAATAAAAAAAAAAAATAGTAAATTTTGCTAAATTTACAAATACATATCAGGTCATCCCATAAGTTCTGACCGGATTTTACCTTTTTTTAAAATGAACGAAATTTAAAGAGTATTTTATAATGTCTAATGGAGCTGAACATTATTTTTATGTTTAGATGCATTTAAACTGATCAAATTTTATTTCAGAGAACAATAAAATTAAATTTTGTTTGATTAAAACCCTGCTAACATGGAAGTACCCAAGAATCATTTGAGGCACATAATGCTTTATGAGTTCAAGAAAGGAAACTCAGCAGCCGAAGCGGTTAGAAACATTCACTCAGTTCATGGAGAGGAATGTGTGAATGAAAGAATTTGCAGAAGATGGTTTGCAAAATACACAGGTGGAGATTCACCCTTGAAGATGAAGATCGAACCGGACGTCCAGTTGAGTTTGACGAAAAGCTTCTTGAAGCAACCCTTGAAGAAAATCCTGCTTTATCAGTTGAGGAATTGTCAGTGGTTCTCAGTTCAAAGCATACAACTGTTCATCGTCATCTTCAACAACTTGGAAAAGTTCCTAAACTTTTAAAAATGGGTGCCTCATGAATTGTCTGAAAACAACCTCAAATCCCGAGTTGACATCTGATCTTTTCTCCATTCTCGCCAACTTGTTTCACCTTTTTTGTATAGACTTGTGACTGGCGACTGGCGACGAAAAATGGATCTTTTATCGAAATGTTTAGCGTCGTAGACAGTGGCTTGGTAAAGGGGAAGGACCCCAGCCACAGCCGAGAAGGAAACTTCATGGGCAAAAGGTTCTTTCAATCTGGTGGGATTACCAAGGAATAATCCACTTTGAATTCTTACCACCTAATGCAACAATAATTGTTCAAATATACTGTCAGCAATTAGAGCGTTTGAACCAAGCTTTGAGGAAAAAAGACCTGCTCTAGTGAATCGAAAAGAGGTGATGTTTCATCAGGACAATGCGCGACCCCACACAGCAAGAATCACGTCACAAAAGATTTGTTGGGAGAAAATTCCTCATCCACTTTATTCTCCCGATCTTGCTTCTTCAGACTACCATTTGTTTCGTAGCTTACAGAATCATTTGGAAGAAACAGCTTTTGTCACACAGGAAGAGGTTAAAACTGACATTTGTGAGTTCTTCGAATCAAAGCCAAAAGAATTTTAC